TATACAAATTTTAATTAATATTCATATTATTTTAAGAACATATTTTTTCAAGTTTGTTTCACACCCTTTGATAAAAAATGTATTTCCAAATTTTTTCTAATAACCAACTCTTCTTTATCCATTCACAATTGTTATGGTTTGTGTATGCATACAATGTACCAGATGCAAAAGGTAATTGCAAATTTGGATCATTGAAGTACTGCTTATAACATATATTATCTTTGAATATTTTACTTTTTATTATGTAATATCTGAGTACTAAAGCTTCAGGAAGATTTTGGCAAAGTGATTGTATAATATCATATAGTTTTTCTGAACATGAAATAAAAATTTAGATGTATATTTGTAAATTCATCAAATACTTAAAGTTGAAAAGTATTATACCCTGTATTATAGAACCAAATGCATCTACCACATCACAAGATATGAAGTATAATTGTTTTGCCTTCAAATTACGTTTAAATTGCACAATTGATTTCCATTCCTCTTCAAAATTAGTTAATCCATATTTTGTAACACATAATTGTTTCAAAAATTTAAATACTATGTTCAAATGATGTTTATCATTATCAGGACACCTAGTAAGTAAAAATTTAGAAATTACTCTTTTCATGAACTTTGTTTTCAGAACATAAAATGACTACTTACTGCGGCATAAAAATGGGTCGCACACTTGAAGGTTTAGGGTGCAATTTATATACACCTATTGGAGGATTCCATTTATTACACTTGATATCAGGTTGCAAGGTATTTAAACGTACCTTTGTTCTAATAAATTTTCTTTGAATGCTATTCCAATTTGAACGCATTATGTATAATCTTTCATTAGTTTTTGTAGAAGCTGATGTTACATGAAAATAAGTATACAGTACTTTTAAAAGAAATCCAGCAAAGAACCATTTTACAAATTTTGCTATGATTAGCCATTTTATCTTCACATTTTCAATATTTTTTAACCACATAATGCTAGAAATCTACAATATATGAAAATACTTTAATAACATAACATTACATTTATTACAATTTTATTTATTAAAAGAATATAATTACATACATCTATTTTATTAATAAGTGGCATCAAATTGAAAGATTTGGAACGTGGTGTATTCAATAACTGGAACATAGCTTTCTTTATTTTTTTTAAATTTTGCAATTTTCCAAACATACTTAGAGGAACTACTTTAGCAGTTACAAGATCAAAAAATGATTTTAATTGCTTTTTAGTAGTTGCATACTCATATTTTGAATTTTCATTAAGTTCTTGTGTATGAGTTAAATTCTTCAAAACACTAAAATAATGGAATCTTTTATGCTGCTTCTGAAATTGCTTTAAAATTGAAGAAATCAATGGAATGGAAATCTCATAATTAACAATAAGAATATCTTTCATAGTTTCTTTTATAATGTATTCATATATTTCATTTCCACTTTTAGCTGTGTTTAAAATGTAGTTTATTGGAACTTTATGATCTGCAAAACTAGGTAAGACTGAAGATGTATCATATAAAGAAATTTCCACTTGTAAATTCATGAGAAATACATTATGATGTGTAACTTTTGTATATGTTTTCTTCCACTTTTGCATATTAGGCTTATATTGCTCATATAATTCTAGAATTACAATTTTATATTTTACATTAATAAGTAATTGAATTTGAGTAGGTTTAAGTATACTAAATAATATAAAAAATACAAAACATTTCGAAATTTGATGTAAATATAATAATAATTATTGAAACAATTTAAAAATATCATACTTTGCCTATTATTTCTTTCTTTTTTCTGTAACTTCTTCAATCGCGTATTTACTTTGAATTTAAGTTTGTCAAGAATAAGAGTGGTTTCTGTTAAAGCATTAACATTAGGCACAATGAAAGCATCACACTTATCTTTCTTAAGTAATAGCTTGTGATCCAAACAATATCTAATTTGAAAAAATTGAATATATCAAAATATAAATAAGTAATTAAGATAACAATAAACTAAAAGGTACGAACTGTTGAAAATCCGTTCCGAAAATTTCTTTTACACTTTGCGTAGTAGAATTATCCATCACTTATATTTTATTTTTACGATATAAATGTTTGTAATCATAGAATCATTGCTAACGCATCAACATATTCAAATGATAATACTTTTTGATCGAGCTTCGATCTTTGCCGAATCCCTAGAACAAACACAAACGCACAGCGGCAGTGGGGCTATGTGAAATGGCGTACGATGCGCAAGTAAGATGCGCAAAAATCATTCTAACACTAGACGTGCAACAGATCGCGTCAGAGCGGCTGTGACATTTATTTGATGATGGTAAATTGATAACTGATATACCGACATTTTAGTTCGTAATTTTATCGAAAGAAAATTTGAAGAAAAACGAAGAAACATTCTTTTGTTCCAAATGCAGTTATCATTTATTTTTAAAGTGATGGTTTCTAAGTCTTGCCACAGACGATGTACAGGATAAACCTTGCATCTTATGAGACATTTTGTCTGGTGCTTTGGGGCTGAGAAGACTTTTACCATTTTCGTGTCGCTACCAAAATTATCGATTCAGCATAGAATAAGATTACAACATTGGTAGTGGTTGGAACTGGAACTATGAAATTACAAATAAAAAAGTAACGTAATTGTTTATTAGTATGCAATTTATCACATGCGCGTGTTCTACTGCTGTCAAAAGATCGTAAACAGTTCTACCCAAGCAATCCAATATATGTATGTATCTTTATATGCAAATTTAATAAAAGAGGATTTTTTACATCTGTTGACTTTATCATCTTTGATGGGTGGATTGTATGTAATTCCTAAACTCACCGCTTTATATTGTAGAGGGCATAACAAAAACTCTGATTTTTTACACGATCGGTATTTCAGAACGTTGGACACAAAAATACATTACGTACAAGGTCTATCCTATACCTCGTCTGTGGTCTTGCTTGCAATTAGCTAATAATTAATCGCCAAATACAAAACACTGCAAGTATGTAAAAAATTAGAGCAAAAAATATGTATACGTTTATAGCTATAAACATTTAATTCAAATTTTCCTTTCGTGAAGATTACGAACTAAAATGTCGGTATGTTAGTTATTAATTTACCGACACCAAATAAACGCCACAGTCGTTTCAACGCGACTGTTGGACGGCTGGTGTCAGAATGATTTTTGTACATCTCACTTGCGCATCGTACACCATTTCACATAGAACCACCGCCACTGTGCGTTTGTTTAGTTCCAGGGATTCGGCAAAGATCGATGCTTATTGCAAGTATAAGATGAACGTTAAACATCGGCATTAAAATTATCTGACTAGGAGAAAACGTTCGTGTATGTGCATTTCATTTTTACACAAACTATTAAAATTAACAGTGCAATGAATGTTCTTGAACATTTTATATTTTTTGTGAGTGAAATATATACCTCATTAATGTTACATTTAAAGAATTTTTTAGATATAATATGTTAAAACAACAACTTACTTTTTAGCTACAACTATCATTAACATTATATATGGAAAATTGTTCGAAACTGACACGTAATTATTAGGGA